GTACACCAGCTCTGGAAAATAGTTTTGTCAGTTTCTTACAAAATTAAACATGCAGTTACCATAGGACCCAGCAATTGCATTCTTAGGTATTTATTACAGAGAAACTAAAACTTTTATTTACACAAAAAACCTGTACACAAGTGTTATAGCAGCTTTATTCAGAGTAGCCCCAAATTGGACAGCCCAGATGTCTCTCAATGTGTGAATGATTAAAGAAACCATGTTAAAGTATGGTGCCTCCATGCTACTCACCAATAAAAAGAAAGGAACTATTGATACACACAACCACCTAGATGCACCTCAAGTGAATTATGCAGAACTGAAAAAGCCAACATCAAAAAGTCTCATACTTGGCCAAGTGCGGTGGCTCATGCCTGTAATCCCAGCACTTCGGGAGGCTGAGGTGGGCGGATCACTTGAGGTCAGGAGTTGGAGACCAGTCTGGCAACATGGTGAAACCCCATCTCTATTAAAAATACAAAAATTAGCTGAGTGTGGTGGTGCATGCCTGTAATCCCAGCTACTCGGGAGGCTGAGGCAGGAGAATCTCTTGAACCTGGGAGGCGGAGGTTGCAGTGAGCCGGGATCATGCCACCGCACTCCATCCAGCCTGGGCGACAGAGCAAGACTCTGTCTCAAAAAGAAAAAGAAAAAAGTCACATACTTTATGATTCAATTTATCACATTCTTTCAGTAACATGAGAGATGGAGAACAGAGTAGTGGCTGCCAGGAGAGATGTGGAAGAGCAGAGAGGTGGATGTGGTTGTGAAGAGACAGCATGAGAACTGTACTGATTCAATGGCTCTGTGTCTTCACCATTTGTGTGGTGGTGGTTACACAAATCTACACCATGACACTGCACAGAACACACACATAACACACACACGTGCACATGGTGAAAACTAAATAAGCTCTATGGATTGTACTAATATACAATCCACATTGTACACTGAAACTGAATGCAAGGGTTTTGATATTGCACCACAGTTACGCAAGATGCTACCACTGGCAGAAAGCGGGTGATGGGTACATAGGATCTCTCTGAACATTTTTTGCAACATCTTGTGAATCTATTATTCCAAAATTAAAATTTAAAGAAAGATCAATCAGAGATACATACAGACACATTTACAGATTAAATGACACAGGTCTGGGGTTTGCATTTAAAAATACTCCACAAGAGCTGGGTGCCGTGGCTCACGCCTATAACCTCAACACTTTAGGAGGCTGAGGTGGGTGGATCTCCTGAGGTCAGGAGTTGGAGACCAGTCTGGCCAACATGGTGAAACCCCATCTCTAATAAAAATATAAAAAATTAAGGCCGGGCGCGGTGGCTCAAGCCTGTAATCCCAGCACTTTGGGAGGCCGAGACGGGCGGATCACGAGGTCAGGAGATCGAGACCATCCTGGCTAACACGGTGAAACCCCGTCTCTACTAAAAATACAAAAAACTAGCCGGGCGAGGTGGCGGGCGCCTGTAGTCCCAGCTACTCCGGAGGCTGAGGCAGGAGAATGGCGTAAACCCGGGAGGCGGAGCTTGCAGTGAGCTGAGATCCGGCCACTGCAGTCCAGCCCGGGCTACAGAGCAAGACTCCGTCTCAAAAAAAAAAAAAAAAAAAAAATTAGCCAGGTATGGTGGTAAGCACCTGTAATCCCAGCTACTCAGGAAGCTGAGGCAGGAGAATCATTTGAACCCGGGAGGCGGAGGTTGCAGCAAGCCAAGATTGCACTATTGCACTCCAGCCTGGGCAACAAGAGCGAAACTCTGACACACACACACACACACACACACAAAATACTCCAGGAGGAAAGAAAATAAAGGAAAAAAAGTGGGAGAAACAGGTGAAACAGAATCAACAAGCTATTGATAAGTGTGGAAGCTTGGAGAGGCATATACAGGGGTTCATGTATTTTGCTAATTTTATATTTGAAAATTTCCAAAATAAAAGTTTTACTAAGTTCCCAGGTGTGCTTAGGCCAACACAAGGGCTAAGCCTGACATATTTGTCCACATCACTGTTAACTTTTGAACACAAATTAAGTTCAAAGCTTACAGTTCTATTTATTTACAAAGTTTTTATTATGAATTTTTATTGAGATTTTCATAAACATTTTAAATCTGCATGTTTACTACTTTTTGCCTCTAAGAAGTCCCATAAAGTTATAAAAAATAGAAATTTATAAATACACATTGAGAATTATGCATTTTTATACAACCAACAGGCAGGTCAATGTTTCAAGTTGTCTAACCCTTTCCCTGTCTCCCCTCAGAACAAAATTTTAAGAGTATAGCCTCTGAGGCCAGGCGCGGTGGCTCATGCCTGTAATCCGACCCACACTGGGAGGCTGAGGTGGGTGGATCACCTGAGATCAGGTGTTCGAGACCACCCTGGCCAACCTGGTGAAACCCCATCTCCACCAAAAATACAAAAAAAAATTAGCCAAGAGTTGTGGTAGGCGCCTGTAATCCCGGCTACTCGGGAGGCTGAGGCAGGAGAATCCCTTGAACCCAGGAGGTGGAGGTTGCAATGAGCTGAGATCACGCCATTGCACTCTGGTCTGGGTGATAAGAGCGAGACGCCATCTCAAAAAAAAAAAAAAAAAAAAAAAAGAGTATAAGATGCCGTCTCGAAAAAAAAAAAGGAGTATAGCCTCTGAAATCTCAACAGCAGAAATAGCAGCCCTTTTCCAAATCCCACCTATAACTCGGCACAACTGCATTCAACAGGCGCTTACTTTGGATAATAACAACAAATGGAAACTGTAGAAACACTGACTGGGACGACGCCTCCCAAAGAGCAGTGAGAACTGCAAGCTGGGATTGGCCACGGCTTGAATATGGGGCTGTGTTTATAAACGCATCAGGCCAAGAATCGCTAAGAACTGAATCACAAACCCTGAGAAGGCCACATAGGCCAGTCTAACTGCTTTGATCTAGGAGAGTTTCAGGTTACTACAAACCTGGAAAATTCCTATTTAGTCCAGTTGGGGACTCCAGATTTTTTTTTTTTTAACTAGCGTCCCGTCTTCAGTTCCTGACAAGCAGCTCTTTCCTTACAGTACAGTGAGGCCAGAAGAACACGGAGCCTGCTGTGAAGTCCCCAAGTTTTTCAAGTTCCCATTCGCCAAGGGAATGGAAGATTAAGAGATGGGCTGGGTACTGTGGCTCATGCCTGTAATCCTGACACTTTGGGAGGCCAAGGCGGGCGGATCACTTGAGGCCAGGAGTTCAAGACCAGCCTGGGCAACATAGCAAAATCCTATGTCTACTAAAAATACACACACACACAAAATTAGCCAGGCGTGGTGCAGGCACCTGTAATCCCAGCTACTCTGGAGGCTGAGGTATGCGAATCACTTGAACCTGGGGAGTGGAGGGTGCAGTGAGTCGAGGTAGCGCCACTACACTCCAGCCGGGTCGACACAGCAAGACCCTATCTCAAAATAAAAGGAGTTGAACTGTGGAAGCCAAAGGGGAATAAGTGAAGTTAAATATGGACGTTAGGATTCTAACTTGGGAAACAGCTTATTCATCCAGTGTCCACTTCCACGTGTCGTTGCATTTTTCTTCCTTGGATTTGGTTTTAAAAGCTCTTCCTTAGGAAACCAGAAAAGATATCAGCATGCCCAGCATCCTCCTTAAAAACTTGTTTTCTGGTTTGTAGAGTACATTAAGAATGAAGTTGTTCTCCCCACAGGATACAAAGTGGTTGGAGAGACTCAGACCTGCTTCTTGGAGAACGCCTCAGCTTGGCTCACTCCTGCCCATCCACCAGCCTTCCAGCTGACCAGCCATGTTTCTCAGCTTTCAGAATATAAGATGAGGCCCAGCCCTCAACACTGCACCCTCACCCCACCAAATCCTTTCCTATTGTTTACTTTATATATTTTTTATTTTTTTGAAATGGAGTCTCGCTCTGTCACCCAGGCTGGAGTGCAGTGGCACAATCTCAGCTCACTGTAACCTCCGCCTCCCAGGTTCAAGTGATTCTCCTGCCTCAGCCTCCTGTGTAGCTGGGATTACAGGCGTGAGCTACCACACCCAGCTAATTTTTGTATTTTTAGTAGAGATGGAATTTCACTATGTTGGCCAGGCTGGTCTCGAACTCCTGACCTCAGGTGATCCGCCTGCCTTTGCCTCCCAAAGTGCTGGGATTACAGACATGAGCCACTGCACCCGGCCCCTCTTTCCTAGTGTTTAAACCCCATGGCTCCTCTATCAAGTCGCAGAATAATACAGCCGACGCTCTAGGCTCTTGCCAGAGAAAACATCCTCTTCCAGAAGGGGCAAGACTTGGCAGTTCCCAAGCACACATTCCTCAGAGGAGCAATAAATGGTAAATCTCTCCGGAGGAGAGTGCTGCCCCACTTCAGGGAGCTTCGTCAAATGCCGACGGGAGGATAGGTGCAGCCCTGACATGTCGTCCTCCTTCACAGTGACGTATGTGCTCAAGACTCATGACTCCTGCCCGCCCCGATCAAAGCTGTGCTGTGTGGCCTCCTGTTTCCAACATGTTGAGGGAGTACAAAGTCACTTTCCATCAGCTCAATGGAACACTTGGAGGCCAGATGAGGAGAGAAATAAGAATGAAGTTCTGGGATGAGAAAGTGGTGCCACAAATCGTGAGTCAATAAGAGGGATCCAGATATCCTGAACACGCTGAACAGTCTTCTTTGTAATAAGCAGAGCAGCAAAGAGCCCTTTCTTTCCTGTCACTTTCCCTGGTCTCCTGAGTTTCAAAGGAATCAAATCCTGTGATAATGAACGAAGTCACTGGCTGCTGCTATGCCCCACCACATGGCCTGGTTGATTAAGAAAGTCTCTGGCAGGGCGCGGTGGTTCACACCTGTAATCCCAGCACTTTGGGAGGCCAAGGCAGGTGGATCACTTGAGGTCAGGAGTTCAAGACCAGCCTGGCCAACATGGCTAAACCTTATCTCTACTAAAAATACAAAAATTAGCTGGGCATGGTAGTTCAGACCTGTAATCTCAGCACTTTGGGAGGCCAAGGCAAGTGGATCACTTGAGGTCAGGAGTTCAAGACCAGCCTGTCCAACATGGTGAAACCCCATCTCTACTAAAAATACAACAATTAGCCAGCATGGTGGCGCTTGCCTCTAGTCCCAGCTACCATAGGAGGCCGAGGCAGGAGAATTGCTTAGACCAGAGAGGCAGAGACTACAGTTAGCTGAGATCGTGCCACTGCATTCCAGCCTGGGAGACAGAGTGAGACTCCATCTCAAAAAAAAAAAAAAAAAAAAAAAAAAAAATTCTCATTATTCTGTTCATATCTTCCTCAACCCAAACATCCAGTGAAAACAGGTCATCTTAATAGACGGTTTGCCATGAAAATCATGTCCGATCACACCCTGCAGCCTTGGCTCGGCCATGAGGAGGTCACCCTCTTTTCTTCCCTTGAGTGGCTTTAACTCCCTGGGAGGGTGGAATCTGCGCCCCTGTACAAGCCAGTTTTCGTTCTCAGCTCAGGAGAGGGACCTAGAAAGAAGAGGAACCATGGAGCCTCCTGGTGGGAGCCCTGTCTGCTCTCCTTCTAGGGGAAAACAGCTCCAGTGCTGTGAGGGTTGGTCCTAGACTGCAGGACACTCAACCACTAAGGAACGAGAGCTATGTACGGGAGCCAAGTAAGACAGGAAAAGGGAGACTATTCCCTCTCACCAAAGTGGCTCTCCCCAAGGCTCAGCCCCACTGAGGAGACTCTTTTCTACCAAGGAGCAGAGAAGACCACCTCGGTGGGACAATGAAGGCTCTCTGGACCCCAGCCTCCGACTCACTTCTTCCTGCGGATCTTGGGCTTCTTCACGGGCCGCAGATAAGGGTTATCGATGATGTTCTCCTCCCCATTCCGGCTTCCCGACAAGGAGGGGTTCTGCTGCAAGACAGAGGTGTTCTCCTTCTCGGCTCCAGAATCCTCCTTTGAGCAAAAGCCAAAATAAAGCACAACACCAACAGCATAAGGAAAGAGATCATGCCCATAATTGGAATGACCATTAGCATCCTCTAACAGAGAAATTAGAACCTGGGAAGCACCTTCTTTCCAATGTTCGTGTCTTTGCCCCTGATGAAGTGAGGCCCAGGCAGGGGCTGGCTATGAAGGGAAGGCAAGACTAACAGCCTTGACCTAGGAGAGCACACAACAGAGTCCAGAGTCTTGAACCTCTGGAGAAGGCAGGGACAGGGGTTAGAAAGAACAGAGACCTGGGAGGGACAGGAATCAAACTCAGATGCCTCGGGGAGGATGCCCAGCCTGGTGGGGAGATGAAGAAGAAAAGTGATCCTGGATGCCCTGCAGGACTGGGAGATACAGGATCAGAACACATCATTTGCATAGGGTATCTCCTGGCCAAGCTAGCCTAAGTCAGAACAGATTTCCTCCTCAAATTCTCACATTTCTGTTACTTGTAACATAGTCCCAACGATCACATCCCAGCATAGGCCAGAAACTTCTCGAGCCCTAAGGGTTCCACTAAGGGAAGCAGAGTCTGCAGGTACAGCACATGCACATCATTGGTAATGCCTGTCTGCAACCCATGAGGCAGGGCTTGTTTGTTTGTTTGAGACGGAGTCTCCCTGTGTCACCCAGGTTGGAGTGCAATGGTGCGATCTCAGCTCACTGTAGCCTCCGTCTCCCGGATTCAAGCAATTCTCCTGCCTCAGCCTCCCAAGTAGCTGGGATTGCAGGCATATGCCATGACACCCGGCTAATTTTTGTGTTTTTAGTAGAGATGGGGTTTTACCAGTTGGCCTGGCTGGTCTTGAACTCTGAGGCAGGGTTTCTTTACTGTTCATTTTTTGAGAAAAATGTGGTTTTTCAGAAAAGTTTGTAAGTTCACATGTAATCAGTATGATCAAAATTCTTAAAAAGTCACAGTTGTGTATAGACACAGAAAAAAAGGTAATATGCTGACATTTAAAAAACTGTTCTGGGAGTATAAGCAGTCAGTTCTCCTTTCTTTATTCACAGGCTCCTCTATTTTCCACGTTTGGTGGGGTGCGCCCCCTGGTGATGGGCCAAGGGGAAGAAGTCCTTCCACGGGGAAGAAGTCACTGAGCTTCCTCTTCCTGTTCTGCAACTTGAGGCTAAAGAGGCCCTCAGTGACCTCAAGCAGGAGAGGCTGCTGTCAAAACAGAGGGCGCCGTGACCAGATGGCATGAAATCAACAGCAGGTTTCCCCGACAGGACAGCTGGCCTAGGGCATGGACACTAGTCTCAGATTTAATGAGCCGGAAGAAACCAGATCACGTCTAGGTTTCCCTGCGGCACGTGCCCTATCTCTGTCCTATCAATTGTTCCCTTCAAAGACCCAGTTCCATTGGCCCAGTATCAGGGCCTATGTGCTTTCCCTCTCCAGCACCCAATCCAGTGGGACCACAAGGTGACCTAGAGCCAGTGGGGCCTTCTGGAAACTCTTGAAAGCAAGTGCTGCAGGACCAACCTAGTTCAGGCCAGACCAGGTGCCGGAAAAAAAGGTCTGCCCATAACCAGAACTCCCTCAGGTATTTGGCATCCAACCTTTCTGAAGTTCCTAATGGCGCAACTGAGTAGTATCTCCCCGCTCTGTCCACCCTATCACTTCTCTACAGTAGACAGCCTATCTTCAAAGTTATTGGAAGTTCACTTCAACCGTGCCTTCAGTGTCTTCTGAGATACAGATAGAGGTGACACTGTTAGAGGTGCTGAAAATGACAGCTTCAAGACACTGCTGGTGGGTCCAGAGGCTCCCTCCCTTCGGCTCACCATGGCTCATGAGAGCAGGACGACAGGCTTCCTTCTCCCAAGCAGACCTCACAGAAATGTCCCCTTCAGCGATACACAGCATTAAGACGGTTAGGGGTGGGGGAGTCAGTAAAAAAAAGTAGGCCAGGCACAGTGGCTCACTTGAGGTCAGTGTGTAATCCAACAGTTTGGGAGGCTGAGGCGGGTGGATCACCTGAGGTCAGGAGTTCGAGACCAGCCTGGCCAACATGGTGAAACCCCGCCTCTACTAAAATTACAAAAAAAATTAGCTGGGTATGGTGGTAGGCACCTATAATCCCAGCTACTCGGGAGGCTGAGGCAAGATAGCCGCTTGAACCCGGGAGTTGGAGGTTGCAGTGAGCCGAGATTGTGCCACTGCACTCCAGCCTAGATGACGCAGCAGGACTCCATCTCAAAAAAACAAAAAAGCAAAGTGTCAAACTGACCCAGAGCTTTGTAAAAAAGGTGAGAGCAGAATGGTCTATCAGGTGCTCCCTGAATTGCCTGTGAGCTCTAGCAAGCCCTAAACCCTCTGTGGCGATTGCATCCAGTCTCCCAGCCATCAGTGCCATCTCCATGCCAACAGTCCCCTGGAGTACACTGCCAGCCCTCACCTCTGCCGACTTCCAGACTCATGCAGCCAGCAGCTCACTCAGCATTTCCACTGGGGTGTCAGACAGGCAGCCTGGACTTCAGGCACCTAAGTCTGAATTGGGGACCTTCCCCTGTGAGTAAACGGCGCTTTTTAGTCCCTCCCATCACAGGTGATGGCAACTCCATCCTTCTAATGGCTCAAGTCACAAACTCTGTCGTCATTCTTGCTTGTTTTCTTTCTTTTATTTTTAAATAGGGTCTCACTATGTTGCCCAAAACTGGACTCAAACTCCTGGACTCAATCTTCCTGCCTCAGCTTCCCGAGTGACTAGGACTACAGGCATGCACCACCACATCTGGCACACTTCTTTTCTTTCTCTGACATCCCACCCCCAATCTGTTAGCACAGCCTCTTGGACTTACCTTCAAAATTCAGGCAGGTACTGACCACTTCCACCACCTCTGTGGCAACCACTCTGCTTGGGCCCACCACTGCCTCTCACCTAGGCTATAGCGACAGCTTCCTGACTGATCTCTCCAGTCTGTTCTCACCGAGCCATCAGAGTGATGCTTTAAGAAGCTCAGAAACGTCCCTCCTCTGCTCCACACCCTCCCACAACTCCCATCTCACTTAGTTAAAAGTCAGTTCTTAAAACAGCCTGCAAGGCCCTACCCAATCCACAAGCCACTCACTATTCCACAGGGCCTTTGCACTGCCCATTCCCTCTGCCAGAGCACTCTTCCCCAGATATGGCTCACTCCCTCACCCAGTTCAAGCCCCTGCTCATATATCCCCTTCTCGGTAATGCCTACTCCGAGCACCCCACTTAAAACTGAAGACTCCTCCTCACCCCGGATCTTCCCCTACTGTTTTTCCCAGCACAGCACTTTCATTTCTGATATACTATGCAATGATTTATTCATATATTATGTTTACTGTTATCCTCCCACAGCCAAACATACGTTCCTAAAAGGCAGAGGTTTTCTTTGTTTTTCTCACTGCTTTATCCCAAGCAGCCAGAACAGTATCTGCCACATACTAGGTGCTAAACAAACACTGGTTGAGTGAGTGACTGGTACATTTTTCATAAGAGAGTAAAAGTTTAGGTATCTGGGTTGGCTGCAGAAAGCAGCCGGTTCAAATGCGTGAGAAAATAATCTATTATACATGAATTTAAAATGAATAGCTCCTTTATGTTCAAATACATGGAGAAACTAGAACCAGGTTAAATAACGTGCTGCCTAACAACAGACCTTGAGAGGTGCACTGTCATCAAGAGATAAAAGAATAATTTAAAATACCAGTTATTTACTTCGCTATAACAATGTCTGTAAATGCTAAACACAGAAAACAACCTAAGTGGTCATGAGGGACTAGATAAATGGTTACATCCATACAATGAAAGATAAAGCAGCTGTGAGGAACGATGCAGCTCCTCCCTTACAGATGTGGAATGACCAAGATACAGCCAGAGAGAAAGCAAGAAGAGAACAGTTTGTGATCTGCTGTTTCAGTTCAAAATAACAATTAAAAAACAAAAGTCTCTAGAAGGATACACAAGAGGCTGGTGAGACAGTTGCCCTGTGGAGGGAAAGTGGGTGACAGGGAACAGGATGGGAGGGATTGTCACCACACATCTTTTCACACACTCTGCATTTTGAAACATATGATTGTATTTCCTAGTCTAACAAAATAACATTAGGTCTAACTGACTAGTAAATTGTCGCTAAAATCTTTGTCTTGAAGTTATTTTATTTTATTTTTAGGTTATATAGCCTAAAATAGCAGGGGAGGGAACAGTGTGTGCCAGGAGCTGCCACGTGCCAGGCACCTGATAGATACCAGCTCTACCTCAAGCTCCCCCTGTCCCTTGAGGTAGGTGTTCCTGTTTCTACTTACAAGGAAATAGACTAAGGTGTTAAGTAACGCAATCAGAGTCACACATGTGGTAAGCAGCACAGTCTGGATTTAAAGCTAGGCAAGTTTGACCCTAAGACTCAGGCCTTCCTACACTTCTGCTCTCTGCAACCCTGGCTTGGCCTCATGGTATTCAAGAGTCCTCAGGCAGTCGCTGACATTCTTTGGGTTCAATTACCACCATGACCTCACATCACTACAGGACTGTCAGTGAATGCATGTCCAGACCCTTTAACTATATTGTACTTACAAAGGTATGATGTTTGTTTACATGACTCCTTTCTCATAAGGTGAACCTCAACTTAGTCCATGACTCAATCACCATATCTCAGTCCAAATTAACAGAAGCATACAATAACAATTTCCTCTGCTTTATTTAAAGCCATGGGCTCCCAGCCCTAATTCTGAAAGGAATAATTCAGCATTTAAGGAAAAAAAAAAAAAAAAAAAAAAGGTATGTCCAGGCCGGGTGTGGTGGCTCACGCCTCTAATCCCAGCACTTGGGGAGGCCAAGGCGGGCGGATCATGAGGTCAGGAGTTCGAGACCAGCCTGACCGATGTGGTGAAACCCCGTCTCTACTAAAAATACAAAAATTAGCCAGGCATGGTGGCGCGTGCCTGTAATCCCAGCTACTCAGGAGGCTGAGGCAGAAGAATCGCTTGAACCCGGGAGGCTGAGGTTGCAGTGAGCCGAGATCTTGCCACTGCACTACAGCCTGGGTGACAGAGTGAGACTCTGTCTGAAAAAAAAAAAAAAAAAAAAAAAAAAAAAAAAAAAAAAAAAAAGGATGTCCAAGCAAATAAGATCTTCAGCAAATAGGGATGGCACAGGCATATTCCACTAGCAAACCAGAGTGGCTGGCTGCCACTTGGTGCACCTCATCTTAGAGAACATGAGGGATGCTCAGTCCAACTACAGCCACTAAGGCATCCAAGCTAGTGCTGATTTTAAAGGATGGTTGAATATGGTAAACTGGCTATATAACCCTATTAGCCTTGAAGGCATTCGAGCTTCTGGTGGTTCTGTGATTGTACTTGGCACTTTCTCCAAGGGTGCAGGAACAAGAGGGGGCTCTTATCCTTTAACTTGCTGAGTGTGACACACTGGTGAGCAGAAAAGAAAGTATTCCCTAAAACAAGCCAGGACTAGAACATCTCCTTGCCCACCTTTGTCTCTGAACCCACATGTTCCGTCTCCTATCCTGGGTATGAAATGTCCAGAAGAAGGCTAGTCCCTCCATTTGGTCACAGGCCCATCCCCTCTCCCCTGCCAAATGACATCATTCCCAGACGTTTCTTTTTTTCCTGTATCCATTTTTCCTTTTGACCTGATTATTCCCGGCAGCACACAAACATGTTCTTTTATCTTAAAAAATAAAAATATAAAACACCTCTCTTAATTCCTTCATTTTCCCCTTTTTAGTTACCACTCCACCATTCTCCTCTGTACTGCAGGGAACACCACACGACTTTCTGTGCCAATGGAAATGTTCAATATCTACACTGTCCAGTAGAGCAGCCACTGGCCATATGAGGCTATTAGATACTTGAAATGTGGCTAGTGAGATTAAGAAACTGATTTTTAGTTTTATTTAATTAATTTAAATACCCACATGTGGCTAGTGGCTGCTGTAAAGGACAGCACAAGTCTATACTCACTGACTCCTCTTCTCTCCTCCCATTCTCTCTGAATTTACTCCAGGTCTTTGCTCTCATTCTTACTGAAATGGTTCTCATCAAGGTCACAAATGGCACCCACATTGCCAAATCTAATGGTTGAATTCTCAGTCCTCCTACCATTGGAGCCACCTGCAGCTTTGCACACAGCTAACTGCTCTTTTCTCCCTGAAACACTTACTTCCCTTGGCCTCCAGGACACAGCCCTCTTCGGATCTCCTCCCACCTCCATGCTGGTTCTTCTCATCTCTTCAAGCTCTACACATACCAACAGCTCCAGGGCTCAATGTGCCTCCTCTTCTTATCCTCACTCATCCCTGGAAGAACTCATCCACGCTCATGGTTTTAGACACGACCTATAGACTGCTGGCTCCCAAATATGCATCTCCTGCCCTAACTGCTGCTCAAACTCCAACTTATATATCCAACTCTCCACCTGACATCACCACCTGATGTCTAACAAGCATCTCAAACTTAACACATCTACATTTAAGACACAAACATCAACTCCTGACTTCCCCCACACACCTGTTCCACCTGGTGGTTGTTCCCATCTTGGCTGAAGGCAATTCCATCTTTCCTATTATTCAGGCAAAAAACCTTACAGTTTTCTTTAACTCTCTCTCATATCTACTCTGTCAACTGGCTCTGCTCTGAAAGTGATCTAGAATCTGACCAAATAATCTAGGTGACCACATCTCCTTATTTTTGCTCCTCCTACCATCTCTCAGTTTACTGTGACAGCATCCTAACTGGTCTCCCTGCTTCTGCCTGCTCTCTATAGCCCATCCTCAGCACAGCTACCTGACTGACCCTATTAGCAAACCTACATCAGATCCTGACCCTCCTCTGCTCAACACCTCTAGTGGCTCCATCTCACTGAGTAAATGCCAAAGTGTCTAATCTAACCTTTAAGACCCTGTAAGGTCCGACTCCCCGTAGGCTCTCTCGGACCTCATCCCCTACTGTTCTCCCTCTTGTTCACGCCACTCTGGCCACCCTGATGTCCTTGCTGTTCTTTGATACAACAGGGGAGCTCCCGCCTCACGGCCTTTGCATCTGCTGCACCTGCTGCTTAGAAAGGCTTCACCCCTAGACATGCCCATGCCTTGTTCCCTTCAGGTCTTTACTCAGATGTCCCCTTCTTGGTCACCCTACCTAATACTGCATCCCTCCCATCCCCATCCCCACTTTCTATTTCATTTATTATTTTTTCATTAGCCCCATGAGGACATGGAATTTTATTTGGTTTCCTACTAATTCCCCAGCACCTGGAACTGTATTTGTTGAACGAATGAGTGAATCCCCAGGACACGGATGTGTCTCTAAGCAGATCTGGTTGCACCTGGATCATCACACTAGCCCTCAGACAGGCCCCTAACATAAAGTCAGAGACCTAAGGTCGATCATGTCCAGGTCCCAGGATGACAGACTGAGGGCAGGGCGGGATAGTTTGGGGGATACTCTGAGGTTGGCAGAAGGTGGAACCCACCATGCTGATATGAAGAGCGAGGTTCTCCGTGTCTGTCTGTTCATCCTGCTCCGAGGAATCTGTCTCTTCCATCTGTTGCATCTCCAGTTCAGATGGAAGAAGAGCCGTCAGGTAGGGGATGGTGAAAGGTCTGGCAGCAATCACTGGCGAATTGGAAGAGAGGCATGAGTCCACTGTCACAGACACTTCAGAGCTGGCTTAGTGTCCTAGAGCCTCACATCAGTGAGCAGCACCAGAAGATAATACTGGCTAACTCGCTCCAAGTACTTACGCAACAGGCCAGGCAATGTCCTTTGGTCTTTACTCATGTTATCTTTCATCCTTGCTCCCATCCTATTAAGTACGATTAGGTACAGAGAGGTGAAATGACTTTCCCAAGCATGCTGAAAATGGCAGAATGGGATTCTAACTCAGGCAGTATGACTTCAGAATCTACTTTTTGCCAAGTACAACTGAGATAAGATTGAAATGGCGCTATAGATAGAATCCTAGCAACACGTGAGTTTTGAGATCTTGCACCCAAGGTCAGTTAAACCCCTCTAAGCTTCATTTCCAGAGCAGGAATATTGATTCCTTCACCCTGAAGGACTCAAGTCCAAAGGCTGGATTTGAGCACTCTGCATATATGCATGTCCACTGAGCTGTAAGACACTCTGGTAAATGAGAGTTCCAAAAAGCAATAAGGATGAGAGGAAGAAATTGATTTAAAATTAACATTAAAAGAAAGAAGGCCAGGTGTGGTGGCTCATGCCTATAATCCTAGCACTTTGGGAGGCTGAGGCAGGAGGACTGCTTGAGCCCAGGAGTTTGAGACCAGCCTGGGCAACATGGTGAAATCCCGTCTCTAGGAAAAATAAAATTAGCCAGGTATAATAGTGCATGCCTGTAGTCCCAGCTACTAGGGAGGCTGAGGTGGGAGACTTGAGTCCAGGAGGTCCAGGCTGCAATTAGCTGTGTTTGTGCCACTGTACTCAAGACTGGGTGACAGAGTGAGATTCTGTCTCAAAACAGAAAAAGAAAAAGTCTCCGTGTATACTTCTATGGTAGAATGTGACTGTTAGAAAATGCTCTAGAATTGGCTGGGCGTGGTGGTTCATGCCTATAATCCCAGCACCTTGGGAGGCTGAGGTAGGTGGATCACTTGAGCTCAGGAGTTCAAGACCAGCCTGGCCAACTGGGGGAAACTCCGTCTCTACTAAAAATACAAAAAATTAGCTGGGTTGGTGGCTAATGCCTGTAGTTTCAGTTACTTGAAGCAGAAAAATCGTTTGAACCTGGGAGGCCGAGGTTGCAGTGAGCAGAGATTGCGCCACTGCATTCCAGCCTGGGTGACAGAGCAAGACTCTGTCTCAAAAAAACTAAAAAAAATGCAGAATGGGATTCTAAGGCAGTATGACTTCAGAATCTACCCACAAAAACTCCAGAATTATTTTTTGCTGTGGGTCAGATGTGGGGTCCGGCAGTAAGAGCTAGGTTTGAATGCTATCTATTAGCCATGTTCCTTGAGGAAGTGACTTCATTTCTCTTGTGCCTCATTGAAGGGTTCCTATGAAGGTAGTGATATATCAGTTCCTGACTCAGAGGCTCGCAAGAGGATTTAATGAGATAATGTATGGGAAGTGATCGGCACAGTATCTGGCACTTAATAACTGGCAGCTGCTGTTATTCCAGAGCCAGGCACACAGCAGGCACTCCACAGGAGCTTGCTGAATGAATGAATCGCCTAAACCAACCTCCCTCACTCACATTTGTAAAAACTGAGGTCTATGGAAATGAAGTAGCTTGGTCAACATGGCCAAACAGTGCCGAGATGCCAACTTAAATGAGATGGGACCTATGAGGGAATATCACAATGAGCAACTGGCCCCTGATGCCAGTGTTCCTTCTACTACCTGGGCTGCCACTGAGTGACTCTGATGCCTAGGCCTAGGCCACCTCAAGGTAACTCAATGGACCTCAAGCGGCCAGTCCCAACAGAGGCCATTACTGTCCTGGAGCTGTCAGTTAGGGACAGACTCTTAAGATCTGGGGAAAGGAGCCAGAAATCTGAGGGGCAAGCTGTACCCAAGGGAAGGACAAAAGCTTATTTGTTGCTTCCTACTATGCTGAGAGAAAGAAAAGATAGTGTGAGTATTTCAAATAAGATAGGGTCCACACAGCGGGGCAACTCTCACATGGAAATGTGCTGACGTCATCTTTGAAAAGACTCTGAGTCTCGCCTGTCTTGGCCATGAAACGGGTAAGTGCCCGCTCCACATCGCGCCGCTGGGATGCAGCCTTCTCCCGCAGGACCTGGTAGTCTGACACGGGCTCACGGTACGTCTACAAACGGAATAGCAAACACACTGAGGTGATGCCGAGGTATCATTCTGCTTTCATTAGCTCCCTGGCTTGCTGTTGCTATGCCCTGTTCTCTAAAATGACCCAATACCAGGCCAGGCGCGGTGGCTCACGCCTATAATCCCAGCACTTTGGGAGGCTGAGGCTGGTGGATCACCTGAGGTCAGGAGTTTGAGACCAGCCTGGCCAACATAACAAAACCCCGTCTCTACTAAAAATACAAAAATTAGCTGGGTGTGGTAGTGTGCACCTGTAATCCCAGCTACTTGGGAGGCTAAGGCAGGAGAATGGCTTGAACCCGGGAGGTGGAGGTTGCAGTGAGCCAAGATTGCATCATTGCACTCCAGCCTGGGCAACAGGAGCGAGATTTTTGTCTCAAAAATAAATAAATAAAATGAAATAAAATAAAATAAAATGACTCAATACCATTAGTTAGAGCCAAGATCAACAAAGCACAATAGCAAGGCGGACGAACAATGTAACTACATTAATATGTATTTCTAATTAAAAATTAAGGCCAGGCATGGTGGCTCACACCTGTAATCCTAGCACTTTGGGAGGCCGAGGCAGGTGGATCATGAGGTCAGGAGTTTGAGACCAGCCTGGCCAAGATGGTGAAACCCTATCTTCACTAAAAATAAAAAACATTAGCCAGGCGTGGTGGCAGGCGCCTGTAATCCCAACTACTTGGGAGGCTGAGGTAGGAGAATCGCTTGAACTTGGGAGGCAGAGGTTGCAGTGAGCCAAGATTGCACCACTGCACTCCAGCCTGGGCAACAGAGTGAGACTCCATCTCAAAAAAAAAAAAAAAAGAAAAGAAAAATTAAGAAATATACAAATATTTATTGTAGAGATTGTCCTGGGGCCTTCATTCAGCTCCCATGACAGATGGTCTCAGGTCTAAGAGACGCATCCTGAAGAAAGCGTGGGAGTGTCCCCAGGGAAGCCCTGACAGGGACCACAGGTTCCATCAGTGTAATGTGACCTCCTGCAGTATGGGAGTGGCTGCCTATGCGGATTTGTGGATTATACCATCCCATCTTATTAAATCAATCCTCACCCACCCTGGCCAACATGGTGAAACCCCGTCTCCACTAAAAATACAAAAATGAGCTGGGTGTGGTGGTGTGCGCCTGTAGTCCCAGCTACTTGGCAGGCTGAGGCAGGAGAATCACTTGAACCCGGGAAGCGGAGGTTGCAGTGAGCCGAGATCGCACCATTGCACTCCAGCCTGGGAGAAAGAGTGAGACTCCATCTCAAAAAAAAAAAAAAAACAATCCTCACAATATGGATACGTTGTTCCAAAAAGATTCCCTCAAAGAAAGAGAGGCTGAAGATCTTACTATACAGTGCAAGTGACCAAGAAAATGGCAGGCTGCCACTCTTCCTCCTAATTATGAGCTTGTTGGCAATCAAGTTATGGAATGAAAACAATTGAGATCAGAATGAGAAATGAGCCAAAACATTTTACTTTATTATTTTTATTTTTTGGAGACAGAGTCTTGCTCTGTCATCCAGGCTGGAGTGCGGTGGCGTGATCTCGCCTCACTACAACCTCCACCTCCTGGGTTCAAGCGATTCTCCTGCCTCAGACTCCTGAGTAGCTGGGACTACAGGCACATGCCACCACGCCCAGCTAATTTTTGCATTTTTAGTAAAGATGGGGTTTCATCATGTTGGCCAGGCTGGTCTTGAACTCCTGACCTCAGATGATCCACCCGCCTTGGCCTCCCAAAGTGCTGTGATTACAGGTGTGAGTCACTGCACCCGGCCGGAAAATATTTTAATTGGTAATGGCAATGGTGACATTTTCACAACAACCAATAAAGTAACTACTCTTCATGATATGGAGATAGCATTTTCTTTTTTTCTTTTTCTTTTTTTTTTGAGAGGGAGTCTCGCTCTGTCACCCAGGCTGGAGTGCGGTGGCCGGATCTCTGCTCACTGCAAGCTCCGCCTCCCGGGTTTACGCCATTCTCCTGCCTCAGCCTCCCGAGTAGCTGGGACTACAGGCGCCCGCCACCTCGCCCGGCTAGTTTTTTGTATTGTTTTTTAGTAGAGACGGGGTTTCACCATGTTAGCCACGATGGTCTCGATCTCCTGACCTCGTGATCCGCCCGTCTTGGCCTCCCAAAGTGCTGGGATTACAGGCTTGAGCCACCGCGCCCGGCCGGAGATAGCATTTTCAAAGGAGGCACCTAGAAATGTTTCTTTGTTGTCACCATTAGTTCAAGTGTGTCACCTATACAGTTCTCCTATCTGTACTTAAAGAAAGAAACAGAATTTTCTGACATGTTAAAAATCTTCCTAAAAGGCTGGGTATGGTGGCTCACACCTGTAATCCCAGCATTTTGGGAGGCCGAGGCAGGTGGATCACCTGAGGTCAGGAGTTTGAGACCAGCCTGGTCAACATGGTGAAACCCCGTCTCTACCAAAAATACAAAAATTAGCCAGGCATGGTGGCGGGCACTTGTAATTCCAGCTACTCGGGGGAGGCTGAGACACGAGATGGCTTGAACCTGGGAGATGGAGGTTGCAATGAGCCGAGATCATACCACTGCACTCCAGCCTGGGGGATTGAGACAAACTCTGTCCCCGCCCCTCCCCTCCCCCAAAAAACCAAAACTTCCCAAAATTAAAATGAGTGGATTTTGAACATATTGTACTTGTTAAAAACATTAAAATGCAAAATCTTGTAATTATTCCTAAGACAACTTTTGGCACTCAATAAATTAGAGATTTAACAGAAAATTTTCAACAAAATTCTTTGAATAATGAGTAAATGAGAATAAAAAAATAGTTTTATGGTTTATTAAGAGCAGCCAATGATGTTACATATCTTAGTGATGTACCATCTTCAACTATGAGAGCCATTAAAGTATCAAAATAAACTAATCTTAGAATCTGACTTCCAACTTATTATTCCATCAAGTATTAAACCAAGATTTCTAGGATAGCATGGTGACACACGCTTGTGGTCCTAGCTACTCTGCAGGCTGAGGTGGGAGGATTGCTTGAGCCTGGGAGTTCAAAGCTGTAGTGCCATGATTATACCACTGCACTCCAGCCTGGGCAACAGAGCAAGAACTCCACCTCTAAAAAACGACTGAGTGCAGTGGTGCATGCCTGTAATCCCAGCACTCTAGGAGGCCAAGGTGCAAAGGCTGCTTAAGGCTAGGAGTTCAAGGCCAGCTTGGGCACCACAGAAAAACAAAAAACCTCTCCCCATCTCTATAAAATAACAACAACAAAACAAACAAACAAAAAAAACCTATGATTTCAAAAAATAGAAAGCAGAGGTGGCCGGGCGCGGTGGCTCATGCCTGTAATCCCAGCACTTTGGGAGGCCGAGGAGGGCAGATCACGAGGTCAGGAGATCAAGGCCATCCTGGCTTCCATGATGAAACCCCGTCTCTACTAAAAATGTAAAAAAATTAGCCGGGCGCGGTGGCGGGCGCCTGTAGTCCCAGCTACTCGGGAGGCTGAGGCAGGAGAATGGCGTGAATCCGGGAGGCAGAGCTTGCAGTGAGCCGAGATGCGCCACTGCACTCCAGCCTGGGTGACAGAGCGAGACTCCGTCTCAAAAAAAAAAAAAGCAGAGGCAATCGCTCCCACTAGAAAAGGTTTTAGGTTTCCTAAACATTTTACAAGGGTAAGATTATCTTTTAATGTACACTATTTTGCACAATGTTACATTATAATATTCATATAAATAAGCAAACATATACTGGAGTATGTACCCATGCCTGGGCAAATTGCTTGCACCCAGGAATTTGAGACCAGCCTGGGCAACATGGTGAAACCCTGTCTCTACAGAAGATACAAAAATTAGCTGGGCATGGTGGTGCACCCCTGTAGTCCCAGCTACTCGGGAGGTTGAGGTGGGAGGATCACTTGAGTCTAGGAGGTCGAGGCTGTAGTGAGCTGAGATTGCCCCATTGCACTCCAGCAGCCTGGGCGACAAAGTGAGACCCTGTCTCAGAAAATTTTTTTTACAGATACAGATACACTATATCCCTATCTGTTAAAGTTAAAGAATGTTATGGGTTGAACTGTGTCCCCACAAAAAACATTTTCGATATGTCCTAGTACCTCACAATATGACCTTATTTGGAAGTAGGTGTCTGGGTGACAGAGCAAGACTCCGTCTCAAAAAAAAAAAAAAAAAAGATTGTCTTAACCTAAAAGAGTAACAGAACCAAAACTGAAGGTTTAAGCAAAGTGAAAAGGGTTTGTAAAGGGTTGATCTTGTAAAAATTCTGTGGGTACCAACAAGTTGGCTAAGATTTAAACAAAATTATTTAGCTTTTTTCTGTAGGTTAAAACATTAAAATCATACTGATGTGGGGCCAGAATCTGGGCCCATGTGTCTGAATAATGGGGTTTTCTTAGAAAATTGATCTGCTGTTTGATGGAAAATTGTAAAGGAAAATTCTAAAAAGCTTATGAAAACCTTACCGTATGGTTAAACTAATCAAAACTGGGTAGAAATATAAAATTTTATTTAAAAAACTAGCTAACATTAAAGATGCACTAATGCAAATACGAAATTTGTTTTTCTCTTTTGAAGATGATTTTTATGTAATGTTAAAAGATAATGAAAGGGTTTTCTTTTCTCCTTTGGGTAAATGGCAGGGGAAAAAAAAGAGGAGAGAGAGAGGAGAGACAGATTTAGCTGGCCTCATGCTATCTTCATTGAGTCTTGTTTGGAAAGCTAGGTCTCCTCTATCAGAGTACAGATTTTTCTTTTTAAAAAAATTGTTTGGAGTTATCATTTTGGCCAAATGAATGACTTATGGTGACCTGGGATTCTATTTTGTGATATCCAGTGTTTTAAACCTTTGATATTTGACAAACTTTCCAAAATCCAATGACAAATTATGTCTCTTTCTAACCTAACACTTTAGATATTATGTCCTCTAAAGCCCAAAAAATGACATTTGGCTTATCTCATACAAAAATCATACAGGAAGCATTGTCAAATATGAAATGGTGTTTTGCTTTCTTTGGTCTATATTTGTATAACTATGTTATTGGTATATGTTCCAAAATTACATAAAACTTGTATAATTATTATTTTATTATACTTTAAGTTCTAGGGTACATGTGCATAATGTGCAGGTTTGTTACATATGTATACTTGTGCCATGTTGGTGTGCTGCACCCATCAACTCGTCAGCACCCATCAACTCGTCATTTACATCAGGTATAACTCCCAATGCAATCCCTCCCCCCCCCAAACTTGTATAATTCTAATATGACTTAGTGTATGTTATCAGTAATAACTACAATTATTATGTTAACAGACTGTGTGCCACAGAGGTAACAAATATCCTTGTCAATTGTCTTTAACTGTTGCTGCCCTAAAATGTTTTTGTCATACACAGACAATTATTGTCTCATTTTGATCCTCTTTAAAAGATGGTTTTATAATCGGCTATAAAATTTAACAGGTGCTCATAAATGCAGGTTTCTGATTAATAACTCTGGAGATTGTGACATTAGAATAGAGGAAAAACTTTCAAATAGAAGAGTAATGGCGTTTGGTTTAGACTGTATTTGTATAAATATGTTGTGTGTCCAAAATTATGGGAAACTTCTATAATGTTGATATAATTTACTGTGTGTTAATAATTATAATTATGTAAAATTGTTGTATGCCACAGAAGTAACCAAAATTCCTAGCCAATTGTAGCTTTAATCGTGGCTACAGACTTTTGTCATCCACAGACATTTTATCTTGCTTTGGTCCTTTTCAAAAGGTAGTTTATAATCAAATAAAGGACTCTAAGTTCAGGTCTCAGATAACTTTAAAAATTGTGCTATTGAAAGCTGGGCACAGTGGTTCACGCCTGTAATCCCAGTACTTTGGGAGGCCGGGGTGGGCAGATCATGAGGTCAGGAGATCAAGATCATCCTGGCTAACACGGTGAAACCCCGTCTCTACTAAAAATACAAAAAATTAGCCAGGTGTGGTGGCGGGCGCCTGTAATCCCAGCTACTTGGGAGCCTGGGGTAGGGGAATGGCGTGAACCCGGGAGGCAGAGCTTGCAGTGAGCTGAGATTGCGCTGCTGTACTCCAGCCTAGGCAACAGAGCACGACACCGTCTCAAAAAAAAAAAAAAAAAAAAAAAAAAAAAAAAATTGTGCTATTGGAATAGAGGGAAAAACCAAACTTCTAGGACTCTCATGGAGAGCTAATGTCTTAAACATTGCTAAACCTTGTTTTCAGAGTCAAGAGAAATTATTTCTTTAGAACTACTGGCAACTTTTAATACGGGGGTAAAATAAACTCCTGGGAACAAAATTTGGAGCATATTGTTCCTCTCTACCTGATTTCTCCAGAATTTGGAAACTATTAATATTCTCAATTTATGGCAAAATTGCAAAAGTGCAATAAGAATCTGTTTTCTTTTGCAACAGGACACAGTTGGAGAAATTGGTTATTTTACCAAGGCTTTGACTGGAATGGCATGCTTTCTTTAAAGAATGAAAGATGACTTATATAGCCAATTAAAGCCCACTGGGGAATCTGGCCTTATACCCTGTCCACACAGAGTCCCTGTACAAGGTTCCTGACCTGTGGTAAGTAAAGAATGTCACTTTCAAACAGGTTTAGGAACTCCAAGCTATCTTGGGACCTCAAGAGGAGAGAAATTTGCCCAACTCATAGGTATCTGAGGGTACAAACCCATGGCTGGGCTTGCTTTGAAAAAGTCTTATCTGAGATTCTTCATGGAGCAGAGTTCTATCAAAGCCAATTTAAAAAGTCTAAGTGAAAAATAATTATTCTTGCTGCACTTTATGCAAATAATGGGGCCAAGTACAGTAAGACTAAAGTTTATTTTGTAAACAAATCATTGTATCATGATTTGTTTTTAATAAAAATGGGGACTGGAGAGAGAAAAATTATGCTTCAAAAGAAAAACTATAGTACACTGTTGTTAGCTGTTCTCAGCGTTTTTTCTGCAGTTTAGACTAAATTCTAAATTCTTTGTGGGTTAGAAGTCCCCAGACTAGTGCTTTCAAATCTTTGTTTTTAAAATTGGGAATTGTACTCCTCATCCAAGGACTCGTTATTTACCTTATAGTGGGCTGTTTCACTTAAACACTGTAGTAAAACTATAGAGTACTGATGTTTGTGCCATGCAAGCCATGAACGCCCAGCCAGGCCTGCATGAGTACACTCAGACAGTTGCAAACCAGTTCCACTCTTCTCACCTTGGGGTTCACTCCCATTCCCACAATGTCCCCTGTCAGCAGGAAGAAGCCAGAGCAATCGATGGCCTTTTCCCATCTTCATAGCCTACACCTTAAGATTAAGGTGTTATTAAAACCCAAAGAGAAGGACTGAAACCACCTTCACAAAATTATGACGAGACAGTGAAAGAAATCTAACTTAACTGACTCCATCTTGCTTCTACCCTCCAAGCTGTCCTTGTTCATTCCTGGGCGTAGGCTAAACTAACTTTGGGTGAAACTTAGTTTAGAGTTAAACAAAGACACTCCTTTTCCCAAAGCAGACCTCCATCTTGCCTGGAGACTAGATTGCCTTTGTAGGACTAACATTAGCCACAAGATTAGAAATTATGGTTTAGAAGTCATGCAGCAGGAGGCTACAAGATTCCGACCCTCCCTAAACTGTTCCTAAGATCAGTGCTTGAGGTATCTTGGACTTGATGGATCAGCTGGCCCCACCCAGATCCATAAACTGGCTCATCTGATCTTGTGGCTCCCACCCAGGAACTGACTCAATGCAAGACAGCTCTGAGTCCCTATGATTTCTTTTTTTTTTTTTTTCCCTTGAGACGGAGTCTTGCTCTGTTGCCTAGGCTGGAGTGCAGTGGCACAATCTTGGCTCACTGCGAGCTCTGCCTCCTGGGTTCATGCTATTCTTCTGCCTCAGCCTCCCGAGTAGCTGGGACTACAGGCACCTGCCACCATGCCCGGCTAATTTTTTGTATTTTTAGTAGAGACGGGGTTTCACCGTGTTAGCCAGGATGGTCTCGATCTCCTGACCTAATGATCCCCCCGCCTTGGCCTCCCAAAGTGCTGGGATTATAGGCACGAGCCACCTTGCCCGGCCCTGAGTCCCTATGACTTCATCTCTGACCAATCAGCACTCCTGGCTCACTGGCTTCCCCCGACCTACCACATTATCCTTAAAAACTCTGCTCCCCGAATGCTCAGGAAGACTGATTTGAGTAATAATAAAACTCCAGTCTTCCCCGCTGCCCCTGCCACCACACACAAAAAAGAATGCCATGTGAAGACAGAAAGCTGGAGTGATGCACCTATGAGCCAAGAAACGCCAAAGAATGCTGGCCAACCACCAGAATCTAGGAAGATGCAAGGAGGGACTCCTCTACAGGTTTCAGAGGAAGCATGATACCTTAATTTTAGACTTCTAGCCTCCAGAACGGTGAGACAATAAATTTCTGTTGTTCTAAGTCACCTGGTTTGTGGCACTTTGTTACAGCAGCCCAGGGAATAGAGAGATCTGATCAAGGGCAAGGGCAAGGGCAAGGGCTATGTTGCATTAGCTGGGCAGTTACAATTCCCCTCTCCCCCACCCTGAGGTGTGGAGAAATGACCAGAGGACGTGAGGGCTTGCCGCAGCAGCCCGCACGATGGCCATCACTATATGGTATGGAGGCAGAAGCAAAGGAAGTGTGGGAGAACACCTTCCCAACCGAAGGTAAAACTGCCATTCAGGCAAATTAGAACACATTCAAACCACAGAGGATAACTCATCTTCTTCTCGTTCAGACCTAGAGCTCAGAGTGATAAGTTCCATTTCATTATCATTACTAATTTTTATTTATTTTTGAGACAGAGTCTTGCTCTGTTGCCTAGGCTGGAGTGCAGTGGCGCAATCTCAGCTCACTGCAACCTCTGCCTTCCAGGTTTGATTCTCCTGCCTCAGTCTCCTGAGTAGCTGGAACTACAGGAACTATATGCCACTACGCACAGCTAATTTTTGTAATTTTAGTGGAGACGGGGTTTCACTGTGTTGGCCAGGCTGGTCTCGAATTCCTGACCTCAGGTGATCCATCTGCCTCAGCCTTCCAAAGTGTTGAGATTAAAGGCATGAGCCACTGCTCCTGGCCGTTACTAAATATTTTTAAAGTAACTTTTCCCCCAATTGAAAAAATAACTTTCCTATTATGGAAAATTTGGAAAACTCAGAAAAGTAAACACAAAACAAAATTACCTAAAAAAATTACTATGAACATTCAGTGGAATACCTTTTCAGTCTTGTTCCTATGTGGCTATGTACTTTTGTGTTTCAGTAGGACAGGCAATACTGGGGTCAGCTTCAATTTCTTTGTTAATTACACGTTAGCTGGTAAACTTGAGAACATAATTCTCATTTGCCAAATTGTTTCTCAATGAGGAAAGATAATCTGAATTCTTTTTTTCTTTCTTTCTTTATTTTTCAAATGAGACAGGGTCTTGCTCTGCTGCCCAGGTTGGTCTTGAACTGCTGGGCTCAAGTGATCTTCCTGCCTTGGCCTCCTAAAATGCTGGGATTACAGGTGTGAGCCAACGTGCCTGGCCACATTCTGAGTTTTGAACCACCCTTTCATCAACAAACTTTTGGACTGGACTCTGCCGCATGACAGTCGGTAGAAACTGACTCCGTGCTTTACACCATACACAGCCCCAGTGTGGCTTCAACACTCACCGGAGTTTTGATGTAGGTGTGGGGATCAGGGAACTCAGGAAAATGGCTGGGGATGTGCGGCGGGTGGGGTCGGTTCTGCCCTGCAGTAAGAGCCTTGGGGGTCACTGGCTGATTGGTCACCGGAGCTGCAACAGAGTCACAACTGATTACCCCTCCACCCAAGACCCTGATTTCTACAGATTATGGTCTCTCCCCAAAGCCTCCTTTTCTCAAAAGAAATGCCAGACCTCAATTTTCTAAACAAGTTGCATTTTGTATTTCAATCCATAAACAGTCTTTGATGGCATACAATGCCCAGCCCTGCTGGCTAATCTTGGTTGACATTCTCTTTGACAACAATCTGCCCACAAGCCTCTTAGGTAGAGGTGGATGGCTATGGCCACAGTAACTACGTAAAACAGCATGCTGAGGAGCTACGCAAGTTACATGGGCTGCTGGTTCTCTTTTCACAGACCTTGGATAACAAAAAGGAACAATGAGCTGGGGACAGTAAGTGTGAGCTTAATGATAACAAGAGGGGATTGAAAATGGCACCTTCCACTGATGTATGTTGAGAGGGAGTTTTTTAAAAAAATACCAACATGAAAAAAGTAACTTTAAAGAAAAAATCCAGGCCGGGTGCGGTGGCTCACGCCTGTAATCCCAGCACTTTGGGAGACTGAGGTGGGCAGATCACTCGAGGTCAGGAGATCAAGACCAGCCTGTCCAACATGGTAAAACCCTGCCTCTACTAAAAATGTAAAAGTTAGCCGGGTGTCGTGGTGGGCACCTGTAATCCCAGCTACTTGGGAGGCTGAGGCAGAATAGCTTGAACCTGGGAGACAGAGGTTGCAGTAGTCAGCTGAGATGGCGCCACTGCACTCCAGTCTGGGCAGCAAAGCGAGACTCCATCTCAAAAAAAAAAAGAAAAGAAAAAAAATCCAGTTAATTCTCTCCAGGTCCTACAAGCCCAAACTGGTTACTCGCCACTCAGCTTATGGCACCCAGTTTTACTTAAAGTAGAGGTTATCAAACTTTGTGTAAAGGGCCATATAATAAATACTTTAGGTTTTCCATGTGGTACAGTCTCTACCACAACTAAACTATGCCAATATAGCATGAAAACAGCCACAGATAGTAAGTAAATATGGGTGTATTCCGATAAGACTTTATTTACAAAAACAGGAGGCAGGCTGCGTTTGGCCCATAGTCCACAATGTACCAACCCTTAATCTAAGGAGAACAAGAACTTTCATTTTTCCAAGCAGCATCATTTGCCCTTCTGGGGCTAGAGCACAAGAAACACAGCAATATCTCAAAGATGGTCTACCTTTTGGTGACTGAATTTCACATGCTAATCCCACTAGCCCAAATAAAGATTATATTGTAGGTAGCCCCAAACATTGGAAGACAGCCTGCAACAAGGAAGTAGCTACTAATCCAATCCCTACCATATTCAATTACTTCATTCCACAAGCATTAATTGATAAATTGCTAGGTACCTCAGTTCAAAGTCACTTACGAGCAGTGATGACCATCCTCTGAGACCGTTTTGCATAGGCAGGGAGAGTGTCCACATTGAAACCTAAGAGACAGGAAAACAAAAATCACTGCCCAGACCACTGGATATTGAATACAGAAAGAATAGTAGTATTATGGACAAATGGCTTAAACTCTCAACTCAATGACCTTGCAGCCACGCAAAAGCAGCTCTGGCAGAATTCCCCAACAGGGAATTATGAGGCCTCTTAGATGTGTTCAGAGGAATCTCTCTTGATAACTCTCTCAAGCTCAAAGCAAATCAAGAGAACCATGAGGGAAACGAAGAACACTTAGCAGACATGCCTGACTCCTAGGAACTTCTCTCTCCAGTTGCACGGAAGAACTGGAAACTGAAGGTATACTCACCCATCTCAACAAGTGTGACCACGATATCTGACAGTGTGGGCTGGGTCCTGGCTGTGTGCTCACAGTAAGACTTGGCACTTCTCCCAATTTCTGAAATGTCTAAGAGGGGATTAAAGGCATAAAACTTATTCTTGGTTCCTCAGAAAGTTAAACATAGAATTACCAGATGAGCCAACAATTCCACTGCTAGGTATATACCCAAATGAATTGAAAGCAGGGATTCAAATAGCTACTAGCACACCAATGTTCACAGCAGCATGATTCACTATAGCCAAAAGGTAGAAACAACCCAGTGTCCATTAACAGGTGAATGAAGAAACAAAATGTGCTATATACACACAATGGAATATTATCCAGCCTTTAAAAGAAGGAAATTGCCGGGCGCGGTGGCTCATGCCTGTAATCCCAGCACTTTGGGAGGCCAAGGCGGGCGGATCACAAGGTCAGGAGATCGAGACCATCCTGGCTAACACAGTGAAAGCCCGTCTCTACTAAAAATACAAAAAATTAGCTGGGCACGGTGGCGGGCGCCTGTAGTCCCAGCTACTCAGGAGGCTGAGGCAGGAGAATGGCGTGAACCCGGGGGGCGGAGCTTGCAGTGAGCCGAGATCGCGCCACTGCACTCCAGCCTGGGCGACAGAGCGAGACTCCGTCTCAAAAAAAATAAAAATTAAAAAAAATAAAATAAAACAAAAGAAGGAAATTCTGGTAATGTTATAGCATAGATGAACTTTGAAAACATTATGCTAGGCCAGGTGTGGTGGCTCAGGCCTGTAATCCCAGCACTTTGGGAGGCCGAGGCGGGTGGATTACCTGAGGTCAGGAGTTTGAGACCAATCTGACCAACATGGCGAAACCCCATCTCTACTAAAAATACAAAAATTAGCTAGGGGTGGTGGTAGGTGCCTGTAATCCTAGCCACTCGGGAGGCTGAGACATGAGAAATAGCTTGAACTCGGGAGGGGGAGGTGGCAGTGAGCAGAGATTGCGCCACTGCACTCCAGCCTGGGCGACAGAGCGAGAACTCCTTCTCAAAAAAAAAAAAAAAAAAAAAAAAAAAGAAAAAGAAAAAAAAAGAAAACATTATGCTAGGGCCAGGTGTGGTGGCTTATGCCTGTAATCCCAGCACTTGGGAGGCTGAGGCAGGTGGATCACTTGAGGTCAGGAGTTCGAGACCAGCCTGGCCAACATGGCAAAACCCCATCTCTACCAAAAATATAAAAAATTAGCCAGGTGAGGTGGCACATGCCCATAATCCCAGCTACTCAGGAGGCTGAGAATCGCTTGAACCTGGGAGGTGGAAGTGGTTGCAGTGAGCCGAGACTGCACCACTGCACTCCAGCCTGGGAGACAGAGCGAGACTGCATCTCAAAAAAAAAAAGAAAAGAAAAGAAAACAAAACATTATGTTAAGTGAAATAAGGCAGACACAAAAAGACAAATAAAGATTCTACTTACATGAGGTATCCAGAGATGGAAAGTAGATTAGAAGTTACCAGGGAATGGAGGGGGAGGGAGAATGAGGAATTACTGTTTATGTTTACAGAGCTTCTGTTGAGAATGATGAAAAAGTTCTGGAAATACTGTGAATGGTTGCACAACATTGTGAATATACTTAATACCACTGAATTGTACACTTAAAAATGGTTACAATGATAAATTTGGTTATGTGTATCTCACCACCACACACACAAAAAGGTCTTATTCTCTGATGGGCAATTTTTGTTTCTTCTGCCTGAAGCTGAACCTCTATTTAAGAGTCACATTAAAGTCCTTTGGGGAAAAGGAAGGTTTCTAAGATGGAGTTTTGAAGCTCGGTTCTGGGAATGAGCTTCCAAGGCGGACGGGAGGTTTCACGAATACTCTGAAGCTGTGCTGAATTTTACACACAAAAAAAGCATTTTTTTGGGGAATGGGTCCACAGATTTTATCAAATGTATAAAGGGGCCTCAAAAGGTAAAGAACCCCTGCTCTAGGGATAAAATGTTGGCTCAGATTTTAAGTGGCTCAGAAAATAAAAGCGAGTGGTGCTTGACAGGGAAGGGTGTCTAACAGGAGACCTACCACCAACTTCCCTGCTACCCTGAGCAAGTCACTAATACCAGCCTCTAGACATGACTTTTAAACTCTAAATTCCAAGACTGTTCCAAGAACTGCATTCTTATCTCTTGGGAACTATTAATTCATTCCTTTAGGATAAAGTTCAAAAAGTAGTGGAACCTGTGGTAGGCCCCAAAATCTTTTCTAAAGTCCACACAGGTCAAAACTATTTTCATAATAAAATTAAGTCATTATTTGACTTTTTCACTCTCATTCTCTCAGGTAGTTTTCCTGAGTCTATGTGACTTTTGATGACATCATGGGTCTGATGAATAACAGAATATGTAATTGTACATTCTTATTTTCGAAATTTCCTTTTTTCTTCTTCTTCTTTTTTTTTTTTTTTGAGATGGAGTTTCGCTCTTGTTGCCCAGGCTGGAGTACAATGGTGTGATCTTGGCTCAATGCAACTTCCACCTCCTGGGTTCAAGTGATTCTCCTGCCTCAGCCTCCAGAGTAGCTGGAATTACAGGTGCCCGCCACCATACCCAGCTAATTTTTTGTATTTTTAGTAGAGACAGGGTTTCACTATGTTGGCCAGGCTGGTCTCAAAACTCCTGACCTCAGGTGATACACCCACCTCAACCTCCCAAAGTGCTGGGATTACAGGCGTGAGCTACCACGCCCAGTCCCAAAATTTGTTTTTTCTAACATGGCAAATACACATATACAAAAGCTATTTGGGGTCCTCAATGTTTATTAATAAAAAGGGATTCTGGCCGGGCGCGGTGGCTCAAGCCTGTAATCCCAGCACTTTGGGAGGCTGAGATGGGTGGATCACGAGGTCAGGAGATCGAGACCATCCTGGCTAACACGGTGAAACCCTGTCTCTACTAAAAAACACAAAAAAAACTAGCCGAGCGAGGTAGCGGGCGCCTGTAGTCCCAGATACTCAGGAGGCTGAGGCAGGAGAATGGCCTGGACCCGGGAGGCGGAGCTTGCAGTGAGCTGAGATCTGGCTACTGCACTCCAGCCTGGGAGACAGAGCGAGACTCCGTCTCAAAAAAATAAAAAAAAAATAAAAATAAAAAGGGATTCTGAGAGCTGGGCATGGTGGCACATGCCTGTAGTCCCAGCTATGTGGGAGGCTTGGGTCCAGAAGTTTGAGGCCAGCATGGGCAACACAGCGAGACCCCATCTCTAAATGAATAAATATAGGAGTTCTGAAGCCAAAATGATTCAGATCACTGCTTTAGGAAAACATTTGGCATTTAAAAGTGCCAAACATCAGCTGCAGAGAACTACCTTGCCCAAGATCACCCTTCTTGGGGTAGCCCACATCTAGTGTTTGATCAAGACCTCAGTATAAAGGCAGGGCCTTTTCAGCTTGATGGGCAATGAGGTTCCAGGGTTCCTAGCTAAGTTGTCCAGTTCTTTGTTTGGCCTGCATTGCACTCCACATCTCCCTCTGCCCAAACCTTTCTCCTACTTCCTTTCATAGTTGTTGATCCCTAAGAAACACCATAAATACTTCCAACCCTCATCCTATCCCATCCCCCGAAAGTTCAAAACAGGGAAATATGTTGTACACGAAGAAAAGCCTCTGTGAGACCACACCCAGGCTTCTAAATCTCAACACATTTCCTTTTAAAAGTGGCTTTTCAGCTGGGTGCGGTGGCTCACACCTGTAATCCCAGCACATTGAGAGACCGAGGTGGGCAGATTACCTGAGGTCAAGAGTTTGAGACCAGCCTGGCCAACACGGTGAAACCATGTCTCTACTAAAAATACAAAAATTAGCCAGGAGTGGTAGTGCATGGCTATGATTCCAGCTACTTGAGAGGCTGTAGCAGGAGAATTGCTTGAACCCAGGAGGCGGAGGCTGTAGTGAGCTGAGACTGTGAAACTGCAGCACCCCAGCCTGGGCAACAGAATGAAACTCTGTTTCAAAAAAAAAAAAAAAAAAAGTGTCTTTTCCCCTTCATTCTTTGTATCAATCTAGTATTTGATTACATAATATGATGATATCTATTGCATGGGGAATTAGTCCTGACTCCCCAACAAAAGTCCTTAAGGGCACCCATAACTCACCAAGAGCTTATAATCGCCCCAGCACTGAATGTTTTATATATACATCTCACTTATATTCGCAACTCCGTGAGGTACAAACTGTTATCTCATTTCACAAATGAGGAAATTGAGGTTCAGGAGATTCAGTGGCTTGCCCAAACTATTAAGTGACACAGTGATGATGTACACCCAAGTCTATCTGATTCTAAAGCCTGTAAGTCACTTCATCACGCTCTTTTCTGTTTTTGTTGTTGTTGGGGACGGAGCCTCACAGGCTGGAGTGCAGTGGTGCGATCTCAGTTTACTGTAACCTCTGCCTCCCAGATTCAAGCAATTCTCCTGCCTCAGCCTCCTGAGTAGCTGGGATTACAGGCACCAGCCACCACGCCCAGCTAATTTTTTTTTTTGTATTTTTTAGTAGAGACGGGGTTTCGTCTTGAACTCCTGACTTCAGGTGATTCACCCACCTTGGCCTCCCAAAGTACTGGGATTACAGGCGTGAGCCACTGCGCTCAGCCCATTATGCTCTTTTCTCAACTTTTTACATTAAAAAATTTTTTTTCTCCCCTCTTAAGAAAAAAGTTTATCTTCTTCTTAAATCCTCTCAAACACTATCACAAAGCAGGGCACAGAACTGATGTTGGGGTTGACTCCAAGGACTAGTGTTTCTGTGTACTCACAGCTCTGCAGCATCTCTGTCAGCGTTTCCACGGATGCTTTCTCGGCACTCTCAAACCCTGCCTCTGTCAGCAAGGAGCTCACAACCACCTGCAGGGTTCTCCTCCGGGCCAGATGATAGTTATCGGCAGGGTTAGTGGACTGTTTACTTCCTGATCTCTGTGAAGCAGCAGCCCAGAAAGATTTTCATCCACAGGAGAAGGATGCAATCACATAGTTCATACGTGGTCAATGGCAAACAAAGTTCTTTTACTACTTTTATTTTAAAAATCAGTGCTTAATGTTTAGATTTACAGATCTTGGCCAACTGAGTAAAAATTGAGTACCCAAGGTGCTTTAAATACAGAGACTACCTTTCCGCCTACCTAAAAAGTACGGTCCCAGTGAGATAAAATAGGAGGTCTTTTACTTTCTATTTTAGCAGATTATTAGAATACATAGCTGAAGAAACACGCATGATGGGATTAAGACCTGTCCCCCAGAAAAAATAGGATCTTGTGCCCCCCATCTTCACACCATTTCATTGAAAGGGAAAATGAAAACAGTAACAAGAGGTGACGGCGAGGAGGACAAAAGAAAACAGCACGAAAAAGTAAGAAAGCTAAATGTTTCGAAACGGGAATGCCTTTCAACTTTGGCCGGCCAATAAGAAGGCGAAAATGGCATGTTCGGACCAATCAGGGGGTGTTCCGGGTTCCCAACCCCCAACAGCAAAGGAGCCAATCAAGACACAGGTCCGCCAACTCCGGCGGCCGCAGCCAAGTCCCAGGGAGGGGGCGCGTACGGCCTGAAAAGACCCTCCGCCAGTCGGAGCTCATGATGGGGCTGGATTTATGGGGCCTAGCTTGTTGCTCAGTCTAGGGGAAAGTTGCAGGATACCCAAACTCTCTCGGCTCCGCGTCCGCGCTTCTTGCCCTTACCGTTCCGGAGCCGCCGGCCCCAGCTGTGGCCGCCGCGTCGGCCATCTTGCTCTGGCGTAGTGTGCGCGAGCGCGGGGCGCGATGGGACTTGTAGTCGCGGGGCGGGACGGGGCGGGGCGGCGTGCGCCCCTTGGTTTTCCGAAGCCCAGTCAGTTGGGGGACGCCTGCGGTCACCCCGGCTCACGTGACCTTTTTTTTTTTTTAAGATAACAGAGGCTTCTCTGTCTCCCAGGCTAGAGTGCAAAGACGCGATCGCCACCTCCCGGGCTCAAGCGATCCTCCCGCCTCAGCCTCCGGAGTAGCTGGGATTACAGGCGGGCACCACCACGCCCCGCTAGTTTTTGTATTTTTAGTAGAGACCGAATTTCGCCATGTTGGCCAGGCTGGTCTCGAACTCCTGGGCTCAAGCAATCCGCGGTCTCGGCCTCCCAACGTGCTGGGATTACAGGCTTGAGCTACCGCACCCGCCTCACGTGACCTTTTGAAAGTGAAGTGTTCTGGGGCCTTCAGTGGCTTGGTTGTGGACCGGGAAAACGCGCTGGGTTTCACTGAGTTAAAAGAAACCTATTTCAATATGAAAATCGGTTCTTGTAAAGAGCACACTCCTGGAAGGACCCAGGAGGTCAACTACACTTGCAGGGTTTTCCAAACTTGTCTGATTATTAGCAACACCTGACTGGGCCCAGCCCAATCCCAGTGACTTCACTCTGTGGAAGAGGGACTTGGGAATCTTTCTCATTAAGGAGCTCCCCAGATGATTCTCCTGAGCAGGTAATGTTGGGAAACACTGGAGCATCCAGCTTCGTGATTTTGTGCTGAGGGCCGCCCAGCCTGTCAATGGCCCACTTGGAGTAGATCCTGGACTACCTAGTCCAGGTCTATCGCTGCATCCTGCTGCCTTCGCGCCCTCAACTCGCAAGTATTTGCGAGGCAAGTCTGCGTGGGGCGGGAGACTTGTCCCTTGCCGCCTCACTCCCAGGGCGTGGGGTGCCCGCGGCTGCCAGTGGTTTTCTACCTGGCCTGTCAGCCCCTCTGGCTGCACCGTAACCGTCCCCATTTGCAGTTGCCTGGCAGGACGCAGACTCTGGGTTTGAATCCTAACACTAGCCAGCTGTGGTACTTCGGGCACTTGACCTAATCCTCAGTGTGTCTCAGTTTCCTCTTCTGTAAAACTGGGGGTAAGATGGGATGATACACAGAAAGGGTCTGTCATAGTGCCTGACGTGTAATAAGAGTCAACAAATTGGCCAGGCGTGGTGGCTCACGCCTGTAATCCCAGCACTTTGGGAAGCCGAGACGGGTGGATCACCTGAGGTCAGGAGTTCGAGACCAGCCTGACCAACATGGTGAAACCCTGTCTCTACTGAAAGTACACAAAATTAGCCGGGCGTGCTGGCGGGCGCTTGTAGTCCCAGCTACTCCGGAGGCTGAGGCAGGAGAATCGCTTGAATCCGGGAGGCGGAGGCTGCAGTGAGCCGAGATCGCGCCACTGCACTCCAGCCTGGGCGACAGAGGGAGACTCTGTCTCAAGAAAAAGAAAAAGAAATCGCTCCTCATGATTTTGTTTACTTCCTGGATGGCACGTGGAGGAGTTGCGAACGCCGGGAGGCAGCGGTCTGGCAACCCGTGCCGCCCCGGCCCGTCGCCCACACTGAGCCTCTGTGGCGCCCCGCCCCCTCACCTATGCCGTGTGGGGCGGGGGCTGCGGGCGGGGGTTTGCGGCGCCGGATGAGCCTCCTGGTCTCGCCGAGGATGTGCAGGGGGTGGAGGGGTCGGGCCGGGGACTGAAACTTGGCTGAGCAGAGCACCAGCCCCTTTGTCTCCTCCGCCTCCTCTTCCCCACTTCCTGCCCAGCTCGGGATCGGCGGCGCGGCGCGGACTTTGTAAACACTTCGCCCCTGCAGGGGTGGAGACTGGCTCTGTTTGGACGCCGGGGAGAGAGGTGCAATCCCCTCCTCGTGGCTGGTGGTTGCGACCACCCCAACTCCCCAAAGGCAGGCACCAGAGGCGGCGGGAGAGAGCGCCGGCGACCCCAGTTGGTGCTCCAGGGAGCTCACCTGCTGAGGAGGTAGGCTTGGGGGCTGGAGAAACCGGGGTAGGTGGGATGTCAGCTCAGGCATGTCAGAGCATGCGTTGGGGATCGGCGCTGGGTGGGTCAACGGGGTCGCCGCATCATCACTTCCCAGTTGGCACCCAAAGCTTGGCTAACTTTCCCACTGAGGGAGATGTTCTGCACGGAGTTGAAGGGCAGAGAAACCCCCAAAGGCCCTGAGCCATCTGTATGTACACACATCGGCACAACCCCCTCCAGCTGATAAGGAAGCCCCGTGGCTTTACCGAGCTGTTGCTCTTCTCGTGCCTCAAAGATGGGGTGGAAGGCCTCTAGGAGGGCAGACCAGTGTGGATGGGGAGTCTGTGGGTGCTCTGACCAGTACACCGGGGTGAAACTGGAGGGAGGAACCCCTCAGTGGTGTCTGATTGGTACATAGGTGATGATCTTAGCCTCCTCTGTGTCTCTTGAAGTGTCAACAAGAGGAATAACTGAATACATTGGTTGCTGTTATTAAGGGAGCATTAAGTTATTCATTTGCATTGGTTGAACACCCACTGTGTGCCTGGCATTATATGGAATGCTGAGGGTGCAATGATGTTATTTATCCACAGCTAATATGGATCACAGAACAGACATGGATGTCAAGTGCACTGGCTGGGGTGACTGGGAAGGCTTTAGAGAGAAAAGGACATTTGAGTTCGATTCATAAGGATGAAAAGCATAGAAGTCTTTGGGGGCACTTATTCCGCAGAGCTGGATTGAATCCCAGCTGTGGTGTTGGACACTGGAATATAGGGGCAACCCAGAAACAATTCCCACTCCCTTTAATCCACTGTCTAAGCATCAAGGGGATGAACAGGATGAGTCCCAGAAAAGGCAGTTTTCTGGGCTGGGTCCCAAGAACCCAGGAATTCCCAGCTGGGTGCAGCTGGGAGGGTCCACCTGGGGGTGATGTGACAGTCCACACAATCCTGGGCACCCCCTCCCCATCCCTGGACTCTGAGACCGTTTCCTCTGACGAGTCCTTGCCCTCTGCCTACCACCTCATTTCTCTTTGGGACCAGACATGGATGGAGAAGTGGATCTCCCTTTGCTTCCTCACAGATTCTTCTGGCCGTTCAATTCCAGGGCTCCTTTGGGAAATGACTGACACACCAATTTATGAATTCATTCAGCACCCATTTGCTGTGGCCATACTCCATCTGCACAGGCTATTCCCACAGCTGTTGGGGATGTCATGGTAATCAAATCACAGTTTCTTCGCCTGGAACTTAACACTGAAAACTTCTCTGATAATTCTAGCAGAGTCCTAGTCTATGCCAGTCATTGAGATCATGACCTCCATGGTCCCAAGCATCTTCTTATGGCTTCCCCTTCCCTCTTCCCTCAAGGGCTCAGAATACTAGCTAACAGTTACATAACACTGTCAGGTACTGTTCTAAGTGACTTAGAGATCATATCTCATTTAAACCTCCTAATACAGTCCTACGAGGTAGGCATTAGGATTCTCTCCATTTTATAGACGAGGAAACGCAGGCACTGGAGATAAGTAATCTTCCTTCAGACACAAGAAACAAATGGCAGAACTGGGATTTAAGCCCAGGTCACTTGATTTGGGAGGCTTTATTCTTTTTTTTTTTTTTTTTTTTTGAGATGGAGTCTCGCTCTGTTGCCCAGGCTGGTATGCAGTGGTGCGATCTCGGCTCACTGCAAGCTCCGCCTCCTGGGTTCACGCCATTCTCCTGCCTCAGCCTCCCTAGTAGCCGGGACTACAGGCGCCCACCACCATGCCCGGCTAATTTTTTGTATTTTTAGTAGAGACAGGGTTTCACCGTGTTAGCCAGGATGGTCTCGATCTCCTGACCTCGTGATCCACCCACCTCGGCCTCCCAAAGTGCTGGGATTACAGGCATGAGCTACCACACCCAGCTGGGAGGCTTTATTCTTAACCATTAGGCTAGCCTGCCTCCTTCACTGACCACATAAAATGTGCACTTGAGCCAGGAACTTAGGAGTTTCCTAAAGGGAGTCTGTAGTCCTGTATCTTGGATGATACAGCCATCTATTAGCTGAGCCGTGGGGCTGGTACTGTTTACAGTGAGCCCAGCAGGCCTGGAATAGGGTTGTGGGAACTGCACAGAGCTGGTATCCTTTCCTGATGGCTGTGTGTGTGTGTGTGTGCGTGCGTGCATGTGTGTGCATGCGTGCATGCACGTGCACACAAATGTATGAATGTTTTCCCCTGTGTAAGCCTCACTCAAAGGGAAGGGGGGAATGTGAATAAACCAGGAGGAACGAACTAAGATTATATTCAAGAACTTCTCAACTTGGACGTGATGTGCCAGAATCTGGGGACGTGGGAAACCAAGACACCTCTTTTGTTGGGAATTAAGAATAGCAGAGATGCTCACATTCTAGATGTGCATTCCAGCTTGGTAGCTGAGTAAGGAAGATGGCTAAGGAGTGGGTGCAAGCTTAAGATGCTCACACCTCTCTTTCCCACAGCTCCTGCTTCCAAAGCTGCATCCGTGTATCCTACCCAGTCCCTCCAGACAGGCTGGGATAATGCTGGTGATGCAAGCAAGGGCACAGGACAGTTTCCATGGATTCCAGCCCCTTTTCCACCTTCTTTCTGAAACACTTTTAAATTTCTTACAAGGACCTTCCCCACAGGTCTGGGGAGGCCTTGAGGTGGTCCCTTTCTGCCTACACTTCGTGCATCTGTCTTTGAGAAAGGAGTGTGTGTTGGGGACAGGGGTATTGATGCTGGGAGTCAAGGGTGGGAACTGGGTAGAGGGTGGCTGCACTGAGAAAATGGGTAAGCAGGATGTGAACCTTAAGAATGATAAACCTCCATGCTGCTCTTCTCCCACGCATGCACCTTCCTCCCTCGCTCACTGGTAGGGTGGGGTGCAGCGGAGCCCTTGGCACGCCCTGGCCCCCTGCCCCAGACACTGGCTTGGCTGTGGAGAACAGGTTGTACTCTTGAAAAACCACAAGAGGAAGTTTAGGGAGGGCTGGGGGTGGGGAAAGTTCTGGGGCCCCTGCCA